GAGGAAACTGGGAGTTGACCTGGCCAAGGCTAGTTCTTTTTTTTTAACAAACATGAAAATTTATTTGGAATGAAAAAAGCATAGCAAATTACAAATGTTTAAAACTGGATAAATACCATGAATATCACAAAATTTAGAAAAATAACACTTAACTTTTAGTAACTAAGAGTTGATACTTTGAGAGATAAATGTGTCCCTTGCATGGAGTCTCGTGTCTTCTAAGTGGCAGAGCTGGAGTTTGAGTTGCAGCCTGACTCCAGAGCCTGAGGTCTTAACTGTGACTTTGAGTGATAATACTTACCACTCTGTCCAGTCATGGGCAATCAAGATGTTCCTCCTGACATCTAACTAGATCCCATTCACTGGCCCAAAGCCCCTATCTTCTGGATAAATATTAGCTCCCTAATCTTGAAAGGGTAGTAGATATGTCCGGCTTAGAGTAGGAGGAATGGCCAACATGGCCTCATAAGGTTGCCACTGGCCAGAGGAATTAGGGAGTGTTTCCTACCCTGGATGGTCTTCCTCCAAACTCCACCTGTATCTCCTCTGTCCCCAGGCTCCTTTTGTATTTAACACCCCACCGCTCCCAGGGCTGCCTACCAACTCTTTTTCTCCAGACCCTGCTCTTCCCCAACCCCATCTCTTCCAGGCACCAGTGACTTTCTTTGACTCCACGCCCACTGGCCGGATCCTAAACCGATTCTCCTCTGATGTGGCCTGTGCAGATGACAGCTTGCCCTTCCTTCTCAACATCCTACTGGCCAATGCAGCTGGCCTGCTGGGCCTCCTGGCTGTGCTGGGCTTTGGCCTGCCCTGGTTGCTGCTGCTGCTGCCACCTTTGGGCATCATGTACTACCGTGTGCAGTACTGCTACAGGGCCTCGGCACGAGAGCTTCGGCGCCTGGGCAGCCTCACCCTGTCTCCATTGTATACCCACCTGGCTGACACCTTAGCTGGCCTCCCTGTGCTCCGGGCAGCTGGGGCCACCTACAGGTGTGTGACAGCTGCATTTCCCAACCACAGCTCAGGGGGAAAGGTGTGCTGTGGGGAGGAGTGAATAGACCCCTGATAAGAGAGGCATGTGGGGTAGGGGGATCCAGACCTTCTGGGAGAGAGGGTACCAAGGTAAAGGAGGAAAACAGCAGAAAGAGAAAGTGAGGCAGAGCAGGTCCCCTTCAAAAGAACACATGGGCCTCTCTGCCTCCGTAGGTGAGGCCTATGGTGTATAAATGGCTCAGAAGAAGGTGAAATGTAAAGGAGCCTGGGTGGATCAGCATAGTAGTGGAGTGGCCTCACTTCCCTCCTGGTCTCCCCCAGGTTTGAGGAGAAAAACCAGCAACTCCTAGAGCTAAACCAGAGATGCCAGTTTTCTTCCTGTGCCACAACACAGTGGCTGGACATTCGGCTACAGCTCATGGGGGCGGCAGTGGTCAGTGCCATTGCAGGCATCGCCCTGGTGCAGCACCAGCAAGGCCTTGCTAACCCAGGTACCACCCAACCCTTCATCCTTACCCCAGTAGCAAGTCACTCCAGCACCCTGCACTATTCCCCCCACCAAATCCCCCTCCCATTTGGGGTTCCCTGTGAGGTTGTCTCATCATTATCACTGCCACTTGAGAGCTGAGGGAACTGTCTCCAGGAGTGACTTGCTCTGGTGGTGTAGGATCTATACTAGAATGAGTCTTCTGATCTGAATCCCTTCCCTGTACCCACCCCTAAGTCATATCATCCTGCCCCCTTCCACCTGTTACCCCTCAGGGCTTCTCTCTCTCTCTTTTTTTTCCCCTGTGATGCTGGGGATTGAACCCAGGTCCTTGTGCACACAAGGCACGCACTCTACCAGCTGAGCTCTATCCCCAGTCCCGTTATGTCTTCTCTACACCACTCTGCTCCTGTGCATATAGCCTCCTATGCTTCTGACTAGGTCTTATCATCTGCCTGCTTCTCTACCAACTTCCTTTAACCACCCATAATCCACAGCTGGGATTCTCCTGTTCTGCCCCCCACTTCCCACACATGTCCCAGTGTCCAGGCCTCCCCAGCAGCTGGTGCTCTTCTCCCCAGGGCTGGTGGGCCTGTCGCTGTCTTATGCCCTGTCCCTGACCGGCCTGCTCTCAGGCCTGGTGAGCAGCTTCACACAGACAGAAACCATGCTAGTGAGCGTCGAGCGCTTGGAGGAGTACTCCTGTGAACTGCCTCAGGAGCCTCAGGGCCGGCCACTGCAGGTAGGCTGGTACCCCACCACCCCAGGCCAGAGCTCCAGATCCCTGCAGGGTCTCCTGAAGGCCTCAGCCTTCCCTCAGGCTCCTTTGCTTTTGCTCAGCTCCCTTGCTTCTCTGCATGATCTCCATGTACTTTGTCCCTCATTCCTGCATTCAGCCTCCTGTCTTTCCCCATTCCCCCATCTTTCTTCTCAGACCACCCATTTCTTATTATTCTCCCCTCTGTATACCTTCCAACCCCCTCCTCACTGTCACTCTTCATCTCACCCATTTCCCTCCATCTCCTATTCATGAGCCCCCTCCCTTGTGCAGGGCATCAGCTGGCTGACCCAGGGAAGTGTGGAGTTCCAGGATGTGGTGTTGGTGTACCGGCCAGGGCTGCCAAATGCCCTGGATGGGGTGACCTTCCGTGTGCAACCTGGAGAGAAGTTGGGCATTGTAGGCCGAACGGGCTCTGGCAAGTCTTCCCTGTTTTTGGTGCTGTTCCGGCTGCTGGAGCCCAGTATGGGGAGAGTGCTGCTGGACGGCATGGACACCAGCCAGCTAGAGCTGGCTGAACTCAGGTCTGGGGGGAAGGAGGTTGGTAAAAAGGGAAGAGGGCAACCAGACTCCTGGCACCTAGAGGAGGGCATAGCTAGAAGGTTTCTATACTCTCAGGACAGCCAGGGTCAATCGGGACAGGTGGAGAAGATGAGCAAGTGAAGCCAGCAAGCTCCTCCTCAGGTGCAGAGTTGGCCAGCAGCCTTGGGGTCTTCCTCACCCTGACCCAGGCTACATTTCCAGCTCCATCTTTCTTGTCTCCACTTTAGACACTAGTCACTACCTTCTATATCAGAGCTTCCCAGGGGATCCTGATATCCCTCGACTCTCCAGCTCAGTAGACAGTTCTTGGGATAACTGGACACCACCTATGCCGCAAGTGGCCTCCTCTGTTCCACAGAGCCCTCAGCCCTGGCCCTAGGTTAACCTAGTATTTTCTTTCAGTTCCATGATGTGGAAAAGGTAGGTAAGCTGTATGCTAAGGCTGTACACATGACCCTGGCCCTGCCTCTTCTGTCTTCTGAGTTTTGGCTCAAGATCCAACTCCAGGCCTCTCCACCCAGAAGGGCCCCTCCCCATTTAGCTACTGTGGTCATTCCCTGCATAGCTACTGCTGTCCCTGGAGTCTGTGCCACACAATTTAGCCTTTGTTTTTTCTTATTTTTTTGTACCTCGGTGAAATGTAGGCTGTTTAAGGCCTGAGTCCAGGCCTTTGGTTTCTTTGGTGTTACTCATAGTGCCAGCACAGTTCTATGTGCATAGCTAACTGATTGGCCAGTTAGTGGAGATGGGGTGGGAAGCAGAGTGGGTGGTGTGCAGGTCTCATTCCCAGGCTTTCCTGGAAGAACAAGCTCCATAGTTAAAACCTGTGCTGCCGGCAGAAGTGGCCACATCTCCAGCCTGAATCTCTTGTCCTTGTCCCCCAGGTCACAGCTAGCTATCATCCCCCAGGAGCCCTTTTTGTTCAGTGGGACTGTTCGGGAAAACCTGGATCCCCAGGGCCTATATGAGGACAGGGCCTTGTGGCAGGCCCTAGAACAGTGCCATCTGAGTGAGGTGATCATCTCCATGGGTGAGTGCTGGGTCCTGACTCTGGCAGCAGGGAAGGAGCAGGGAGAGGTTTGGCCCACAATGAAAATGCTCCATCTTACAGGTGGTCTGCATGGCGAGCTGGGCGAGGGGGGCCGGAGCTTGTCCCTAGGACAGAGGCAGCTGCTATGTCTGGCCAGGGCTCTCCTCACAGATGCCAAGGTAAGGTGAGAGGATCAGAAAAGAGACAGGGGATGTGTCAGGGTGAAGAGGGGGTTGGAGAGAAGTTGCAAGGCAGAGCTGGCTGCAGGCGCTATAGGTGTGCACTGGATTATAGCTCCCTATGCCTCCCTTCCTCCCTCCCTTTCCTCAACATACATTTCAGGTTCTATGCATTGATGAGGCCACAGCAAGCGTGGACCAGAAGACAGACCAGCTGCTCCAGCAGACCATCTGCAAACGCTTTGCCAACAAAACAGTGCTGACCATTGCTCACAGGTGTGCAAGTATCCAGAATAAGACTAATCAAGGGCCATGGTGACATGGACCCACAGCCTGCCCTCAGTATATTCAGGAACCCAAGAATCTGGGCCCATAGGTCTTGGCTCCTCTTTTTCCACACACTATTCTGGGCCCTTAGTAGCACATTATTTGAGGGACCTTTGCAGTCCTTCCTCAGCATGGAGCCAGGGACTAATGCCTGTGGGGACAGATCTCTGAAGTCCTGAGGGGTAGGGACAGACAGCTCATCAGTTTTTTCCTTTAGGGCATTGTCCTCTGCTCTCTACACTGAACACCTTCTCCCACACAGGCTCAACACAATCCTGAACTCCGACCGGGTGCTGGTGCTACAAGCAGGGAGGGTCATGGAGATGGACTCCCCCTCTGCCCTGTGTAACCAGCCCCACTCACTGTTCCAACAGCTGCTGCAGAGTAGCCAGCAGGGAGGCCCCTCCTCTCTTGGAGGACCCTGAGCCCCACACCGTACCCTCCAGAGTTCTCTCCTCCAGGTGACCCGGAAGGGCTTGCTTCTTCTCCCTCTGTGGCTCTACCTCCCTTACTTCCCCAGAGGAGAAATGGCAACCTGGGTTCCTCGTTGGAAATCCCTCCCTGAGGGCAGAGTGCTGAGGCTTCCCCAGAATCAGGCCTCTGCTCTGGCCCTCTTGCACCTGTGACTTGAGGTGGGTTTTTCTGGCATAGGAGCCCACGTGCATTTTCATAGTTTTATTTGATAAAATTCCTGTCTTACATTCTGTATATTAAAAAAATAATATTTCTGGTACAAGGCTGAAGTCTCCCCTCAGTATGTATACCCAAACTGAGGGGTAGCAAGGAAGGACCACTCCAGGCTGAGGTGTGGAGGAGGTAAGGAAGGGGGCCAGAAAGCTCCCACCTCCATCACAGTGCTGTGGTCTTTCCAGGCTCAAGGGGCAGGTCGGGTGGCAGGGGGAGCCCTGCTGGCAGCATGCTAACCTGACATTCCTGGTCCTGCCGTGCTGGGGCATAATGTGGGGCAGGATAGCAACAGGGTCCTGGGGGACAGATGCCCCGGCGCCAAGCCCTCAGGGTCAACAATACAGTGGACAGGACCAGGGCGGCAGTGAGGGCCCCAAACACCACCAGGGCCACCAAGCTAGACTCACCTAGCCCAGCTTCTTGTCTCCGCACCACCTCCTTCACAGAGATCCTCAGAAGACCTGCCCCCACACTGTGGGGGACTGGCCCTGTAGCAGGTACCACCACAGCCAAGGTGGGCCCTAGGGGAGTGCCCACCGTGGTGGCAGGGTCTGGGACAGGTAAGACAAGCTCACAAGTCTTGCCACCATAACCACTGGGGCACAGGCAGTCAAAGTCATGGACCCGGTCTCGACAGCGAGCCCCTCTCTGGCATGGGCGGCTGGCACAGTCATCCAGGTTGATGGTGCAGAAGCGTCCAGCAAAGCCCTCAGGGCAGAGGCAGGAAAAGCGGTTTATGCCATCAAGGCAGGTGGCACCATTAGCACAAGGCCGCATCAGGCAGTCGTCTACATTCACCTCACAGTGGGCACCCACAAAGCCTGCCAAGCAGCGGCACGTGAAGTTGAGGGCAAAGCCCTGGTCATCCTGGCATTGCCCGCCGTTCCGACATGGGGAGCTGCAGTGGGGATGGGAAAGGATATTGATACCAACTTCTAACACCTGCAAGATGGCCTTGGTCAGCATCCTGACCACCGCCCCCCCCCCCCTTCCTAGCTGTGTCACCTTGGTCTACTCTCTCTGGGTCTCAAATATCTCATTTTAAAAATGAGAATAAAAATAGTACTTAGCTTCACAATGTGAGGGTTAAATGAGAGAATCAGATGTCAAGCATTTAGCACAGGGTCTGGCCCAAAGGCAGGTCTGAGGGTAAATGTGCTATTATTATCCCCCCAAGCTCTTATCCTAAAGCTGAAACAAGGACAAGTCCATCCCTGTGGGGCTGTTTCATCATCCATACAAAGAGGTATAAGGCTGCTGTGTGGGATATCTTTAAGAGCTGCATGCCAGTTTCTGTTCCCTCATTCTCCTCTTACCCACCCTTCCAACCAGAGCAGTCATACATTATCTGTTACACCTCCAGCTCCTATAGCTTATTGAAGAAATGGCTCAGAAGATACAAAAAAAGTTGAACAACAAATCCTGAGCCAGGGGTTTTATTGTGGTCCTGTGGGTCTGACCCTCAGTCCTCCTGGCTCTTTGTAGTCCTGCCTTTTTCATCCTGTCACCAGATTCTAGTGTAACCTTGCCACAAGCCCAGCACTCACCCTGCCTGCTCACAGGGTCCAGTCTTGCGCTCACAGTCATGCCCATGGAATCCTGGTAGGCACACGCAGTGGTACTCGCCACCCCCATCATACACACACTGGCCTCCATTCCGGCAGGGGGACTGGGAGGTGCAGATGTGCTCATCTGGAGAAGAGACAGAAGGCTTTTGATCACCCCTCATATCTGGTTATCAGACCTGCCCAGGCCTACACGGCTAGCCCTTTTGGACCCAAGTCTGTGTGTGTACACCGTAGGCTGAGATGGTGTACTGAGGGAAACCACACTGATGTCGGAGTCAGGAGGCACCTGTCTCTTGTTCTGGCAGTCTGTCTCAAACTGACTGGGCAAGCTATAGCTTTTCTGTGAACCTTAGTTTTCTCATGTGTAAAATAAGTACCATTTTTTGTAGCAACCTTTCCAACCTCATGGGGTTATGCTGAGGGCAAATTCTTACAACAGGTAGGTAGAAAGTCAAAAAGGATAAAATACCATGTATTTGAGGATTTAAAAGCAGAACACAATAGTTGCTTAATGAATAAAGACTGATGAATGTTCTAAGACACAAGAACTCCCCAACCAAGAGCTTCCCTCCCCCTACCTTTGTCGCAGAACTTGCCTGCCCAGCCACTGTGGCAGATGCATTGCCAGGGCTGGTGGCAGGTACCATGCTGACAGCCAGGCATTCTCACACAGCGTTCACAATGCAGCCCCTCCCAGCCTGGGTCACACCTGAGAGGAAGAAGCACAAGGTAAGGGTTCTGGGAGGATGCAGAACCAGAGCTTCTTGAAACCAGAAGGACACATGACATCCCCTGTGGGAACACAGAACTGTCTCAGGTAGGTATAGGTCTGTGCAGGATCATGGGACACATACAGAAACTGAGTATCCAAAACCAGTGCTCTAGTCCTGGTTCTGTGCTTTGTCTAGCCTTTCTGAACCTTAGTGTCCTCACCAAGAATTGAAGATACACCTTATAGGCTTGTGTTGAGGAAGAAATAAGATCCTTTCCATAAATGCCTCCAGTACCACTCCTGGCATGTCTAATGTGTTTACAACCAATTAAGCAAAGACTGACCTTGAAAGGTCATCAGGGCCATCTTCCCACTGAATTCCAAGGCAAACAACTATTTTTTAAAGCCCTCCCAAAGATGTAGTCTCAAACATTCCCATTCCATTGAGCAACCTGCCTCAGCTCATTTCTTATGTCCACTTTCTCCCTGCTACGGAATTTGACTCACCCTCCACCTCAGTGAATCAGTTGCTTCAAGTCATCTAGAAAGAGCCTCATACATCACAAGTTCTGCTCCCCAGTTACTGCCCCTCTTTCCTAAGCTACCTCTCTCTTTATCTTCCCTTTTCCTTGTAGCTCTCAATTTCCAAGCTCTCAAGCTTCAGGTCTCCTTCCAGATGTCTTGAAGAGCAGTGTTTCAGAATTTCTGGGTCAGAGTTGGGAAAGATAAACTAGAAAAAGCAAGAGAGGTGAGGCCAATGGCAATGGTGGGGTGGGAAGGAAGTTGGCCAGTCTGCCTTATATGTCATAAGAAGTGATAGGGTGAACTGTAGGGTCTTAAGCCCCTGGGCACTCTGACTTGAGGCCTGACCTGATTGTGGGTGTGAAGGTCTGGGAAATGGAGAGCAAAGGGTTTGGGGCAGTGCTGGGGATAGGTACCTGCAGGAGCCATCAGGTGCACAGCAGCCGTGGGCCAGGTCACAGTGGGAGCTGCAGTCATCCGCTGGAAGAGATTGATTTGGAAGGGGGTGAGTCCGGGTTCAGGTTCCTGGAATGTGAACTCGGGAGAGGATTCATGGTTCTAGTAATTGGGTGGACTCAGGTCTGGCCCAGGCAAGCAGACCCATCCCACTTTAAAGGGAGGACCCAAGTCTCATCAGGTCCGCTGGTCAGAGTGGCTGCAGTGCCGTCTCTGGCCAGCAGAGGTCAACGCGCAAGCTAGGACTGCCTGACAGGGAGGCGACTGGAACCCCGTGGCTCTCTCACCTCTGACAGGCTGACCCGATGCCCCCAGGATGCACAACAGGCACACGAGATGTAGGCAGCGGCAACCGCTGGGCATGGTCAGCGTCCGCCCCAGGAGGGACCGACGGATGGACGGCCAGACGTGTAGACACCTGTGGGACGGCACTGGCTGGGAGGCGGCTGGACGCGGAGATAGCGGCAAGGATATGGGCTCCAATTGACAAAAGCCGACGAGGGAGCAGGGCACCGGGACAGAAGAAGTGGATGCCGGTAGCGGGAACCTGGAACCGGGAAGGGTCGAGCAGGAGAGGCGACTGGAGCTAGAAACTCGGGAGAAGGGTCTGCAGGAAGGATGGGCAGCGCCAAGCGAGGCCACGGCGCGGGAATAGCTGGGGCTGATGGGGATCGCGGTCGGGACCGAGGGGTTTGCGGGGATAGGGAGAGCACCGAGAGGCGTCCTCGAGCACTGAGGGAACGCGGGGGCCAGAAGGAGGGACTGTTCCTGGTTCCCGGCAGCGAGCAGTCCCTTACCCGCACCTACGACACCCACCCTCTAGGACTGGCTCCCACGTTCCCTTCCTATCTCAGCGCGCTCGGCTTGGCGACTGCTCAGGGCCTGGAATCCCCACAGCGCCTAGCCCTGCGCGCCCCTGTCCTCACCTCCGGCTGGGAGGCGGCGTGTCCCGGGCAGCAGAGCGAGGCCGGATCCGACGGGCTCCGCTGAGGGGCTGGGCAGGGACGCGAGGCCGCCCCTAGCTGGCCGCGGGGCCGGGCGCCGAGGCCGCTGCCATGCCAGCCGAGCGCTCGGGAATCTGGGGCTAGAGGCGACCCCGAGCGGCGGCGGCGGCGGCTCCTCGCGCGTGTTCGGCCCCCTGCCAGAGGCGGCGTGTGCCGGCGGAGCCCGCCTCTTCCAGCTCCTGGCCGCTGCCGGCCCGCCCCCCGCCCTCCCGCGTCCAGCGCCCACCCCCGGCCACGCACGGCCACACCTCACTCGCGCGCCAGCACCATTCCGTGCCCCCCCGAGCCCCCGCCCTCCGCGCCCACCTAACCTCCCCGAACCTTCCTTCAAGCAAGGAAATACGGAAATCTTGGGAGTCTAAATGGGCACACACTGTGAGTTGCCGGCCAATGGTGCGTGTCCCTGCTATTATCCCATCTCCCATCCCCGCTTCCTGACTCGTGCCCCTCACCCCATACCCAACCTCCGCTCTCACCAGTCGGCTGCCCATCACGCTTTCATATATATCCCGTGCACAATCGGGGCGCACTTGCTCCCCGCCCTCCTACTGTCGCCAGCCTGCGCTGCCCTCTTTTCCATCCCGCTTGTAGAATCTTCCTCGCAGGCTTCTTCCGTCAGCTCCTTTCCCCCTCGCCCCCCCCCCCCCCCCCCCGCTTTCTCTCCTCATTATCATCTACAGCCTTCCAGGATTAACACATGCCTATCTAAATATCAGCCCCGTCCACCCCTCCTTTTCCCCATCAGTCTCAATCTTTCCACCCCATTCCTTCCCGTAACCACCTCTAGGAAGTCTCCCTGAACTGGGAATGCCCTGATTTTGTCAGTGTTACCCCTACACACACACTTCTAGCCTCTGGACCCCATCACAACTGTTCTTATCCTCAGATTAATATTGCCCCAACCAGGAGTTCACTTTAAGAGTTTTCTAGGGAGAGGTTGGGGAGAACTGCCCTTCCAGGCTTTTTACCTGTCCCTACTAAAGGCTTAGACACCTGAACAAGGCGGGGACCTGAAACATAGTTTCTTGTTTGCCCAGGGCAAGAGTGCAGGAGGTCAGGAAGGCTAAGGCCCATTCCTTCTGATGGAAATTTTGCCATTTTTAAATTCAAAACATTGGAGAGTCTCTAGCCTTACAGAACAGCTTTCCATAAACGCCCGGACAGGGGCAGAGCACCTGTGTTCATTTTTACTGAACAGTCTTCACTGGATGTAACATCCACGCTCTCCCCAGCTCTCTAGCAAGTTTACTGTCCACTTTGATCCCCTCTTACATGAAGAACTTTATGAGTTTGAATAAACTCTATCATGGCTCTATCATTTATTTTGTTCTAAGATATTGTTCAGCAAAAAATTACAAACCATAATATCAAAATTTACTATAGGCAAAATAGATTATGGTATTTCAACACTATGTGATGGTTAAAAGTCACCTTTTTGAAGTCTAAAGATGGTCAAAAAGCTAAGAAAATGTTGAGTGGGGGAAACAAAAAACAAAGCGGAACCTGCTTCAATAGTGGCAATAGTGTTCTCTGGATGGTAGAATTATAAGGGGTTTTTTTTTTTTTTTTCTTATTCTTTTCAATATTTTCACTTTTTCCAAAATGAACTTGTATAACTCTTTTTTCCCTTTGTGGTGCTGGAGATTGAGTGCAGAGCCTCAGGCATACTAGGCAATTGCTTTACCTGAGCTACATCCCCAGCCCCATTTTTTTTTTTTTTTTGGTACTGGGAATTGAACCCAAGAGTGCTTTACCACTGAGCTACATCCCTAGTCCTTTTTACTTATTATTTTGATAGTCTTGCTCAGTTGCTTAAGGTCTCACTAAATTGCTGAGGCTGGCCTAGAATTTCCATTCCTCCTGCCTCAGCCTCCCCAATTGATGGAATTACAAGTATATACCACCATGCCCCCCATCCAGCTTTTTTATTAATTAATTTTTTTTTTAGTTTTCTGCGGACACATCTTTGTTTGTATGTGGTGCTGAGAATGGAACCCGGGCCGCACGCATGCCAGGCGAGCGTGCTACCGCTTGAGCCACATCCCCAGCCCACCCATCAGCTTTTTAAAAAATAAAGGAAAAATCACTCATAATTCTACTAGCTTGATAAAACCACTCTATTATTGGTTTGGCCCCTTTTCCTATCCAGATATGTAAACACAGGTATAATCATATCACATCTACAATGTTATATCCTGATTTTTAAATTCCATGCAATATATTCATAGTCCTTGAAAGCATGATTTTCAATGACTGTGGGATATTCCATTGAAGATATATACTATAATTTATTCAACCTAATCCTGATTATTGGCCACATAGATTGTGTTTATGTCATTAATTCATTCAACCAATATATATTGAACATCTAGCTATGTGCTACTTCCAGGTGCCAGATATCATCTTAAGCACTATAAATACTGCTTCTAGATAAACAGGTGTGCCTCAAATTTTCATGCATATAGTTATGTCACTGTTTTAGAATCTGAACTGACAAGTGATTGAGTCAAAGAAGTTGTGAAAAATGAATAATTCCTTTTCATTGATTAAATGTATTAAAATTCACTGATAAAAATTACAAAGACATTTGAAGCTTTTAATATTGATGGCATCAGATGATACCACTTACTTCCCCCTCATGCTTTGAAGATTTTAGCACCTGTCTTATTGTCATTCTGCTCACTCCCACTTATGTCAGATTCTTTTTTTTTTTTTTTTTGTATTGGAGAATTGAACCCATGAACACTTTACCTCTGAACCACACCCCCAATCCTATTTCATTTTCTTTATTTTGAGACAGGGTCTTGCTAGGTTGCTGAGGTTGGCCTCAATTCTTCTGCCTCCACCTTCTAAGTCTCTGAGATTACAGGCAAGTACCACCATGCCTGGCTTCTTGATGATTCAGTATGAAATAGATAATTTTTACAATAAGTGAGATAAATGTTTGCAAAGGTGGCCTTACTACCTCTTCTCCCATATGATCCTTTGCAATGATTTTGCTGCTTCTCTGAGCAAGAGGTGATGTCTATTTCAACATCTTTCACCTGGGCTGAACTTACCACTTGTTTTTGACTAATAGAATGTAGCAAAAAATGACAGTGTGAGTTCCTAGAGTCAAAGTCTCAAGAGACATTGAAATTATTCCCTTGCTTTCTCAAAATACTTACAACATCATGTAAAGAAGTTCAGTCTGGCCTACAGGAAGATGAGGAGAATCAAGGTACCTTGGCCAGTGACCACCGGACAAGTTAGGTCATATTGGGTTATCTCACCCAGTCAAGCTTCCAGATGACTGTAGATACATGAATGAACCTAGGCAAGTCCAACAGAACTGCTCAGCAAAGCCCAGCACAGCACTCATTGCTGAATAAGCAGATAAATGATATATAACTATAAATATAAGCCACTAAATTTTGGTGTGGTTAATATAGCAGCAGATACCTGAAAAAAACTACTTTATATTTCATTATTTCTTTTTTTCCAAGAAGCCTCACCCTAGATCTTGTTGCTACCAGTAGCTTTTACACACCCCATAAATCTCAGTTTTAAGTATCACACTTTCCCATTACTAACTCCTGTCTTTCTGGCTGTCTACTGCCTTGGCTCAAACAATTCTACTACCCACCTGAGATCTCTCATAAGGGCTTCACTGTGACTTTTATGAGCCCCAAATATTTTTCCTTCCTGGGTCCCTTCCTCCATAAAAGAATATTTAAAGGGCTGGGGATGTGGCTCAAGCGGTAGCGCGCTCGCCTGGCATGCGTGCGGCCCGGGTTCAATCCTCAGCACCACATACAAACAAAGATGTTGAGTCCGCCGATAACTAAAAAATAAATATTAAAAAAAAAAGAATATTTAAAATTATATTGTATGGGAGCTGGGGATGTACTCAGTAGTAGAGTGCTTGCCTAGCATGCACAAGGCCTTGAGTTCAATCCCCAACACTACCTTTTAAAAACATTGTATTGTATGACTGTATTGGATTAATATTATCTAGTGTGAATTTATTGCTTGTTTATTTTATTTTATTAATTTTGTTCTTATGATTTTTTTTTTCAGTACCAGGAATTGAACCCAGGGCCACTCTACCTCTTAGCTACACCCCCAGCTATTTATTTTCTCTTGAGGCAGGGTCTCGCTAAATTGCTGAGACTAACCTTGAAATTGTGATTCTCCTGCTCAGCCTCCTGAGTCCCTGGGCTTACAGGCATGTGCCACTACACCCAACCATTTTTTTTTCTTTTTTAAAATTTTATTTTATTTAGTTGTAGATGGACACAATACCTTCATTCCCTTTGTTTTTATTTTTATGTGGTGCCCAGGATCGAACCCAGTACCACACGCATGCTAGGCAAGTGCTCTACCACTGAGCCACAACCCTGGCCCCCAGCCATTTTCACTTATTTTAAAATCAGAAGATCTGGGCACAGGAGCACATGCCTGTAAGCCTAGCAATTTAGGAGGCTGAGGCAGGATTACAAGTTCTAGGCCAGTCTTAGCAACTTAGCGTGACCCTGTCTCAAGAAAAAATAAATAAAAAGGGCTGCGGATGTATTAAGTGTTAGAGCACCCCGGATTCAATCCCCAGCATCATGAATGAATAACAAATAAAAATAGAATAGGGGCTGGCTGGGGTGGTGTCTCAGTGGTAGAGCGCTTGCCTAGCATATGTGAAACACGGTTCAATTCTCAGCACTGCATATAAATAAAAAAATAATAAAGGTCCATTGACAACTAAGATATATATATATTTTTTTTTTTTTATAAAGGTAACTGAGTCTGTGTGTTTTTTTATTTTGATCTCACTAGTTAACTTTTTTTTTTAAAATATTTATTTATTTTTTTTTAGTTCTCGGCGAACACAACATCTTTGTTGGTATGTGGTGCTGAGGATCGAACCCGGGCCGCACACATGCAAGGCGAACACGCTACCGCTTGAGCCACATCCCCAGCCCTAAGATATATTTTTTAAAAAATAGAATAAAGTAATGAAAATGAAAGCATTTTGTGGGCCCCTACAATTATTATGGGCCTTAGGCACTGTGCCTCATCCACTGATCAAACCTCCTTTCCACTGTCCCCTAACCCCATCACCTCCACCCTTCTTTCCTTACCCAGCC